ATCTTAGATGGCCGCTCACAGGCTTTTAAGACCCCAGACACTACTCACCAAGGTAGAATGTAGAGCATTGTCTTTATAAGCTGTGTCATGCCAGTTGAGCTAGATGTTCCCTGAGACCATGGTCCCCACAGCCTTGCGCCCAGCAATTCAGTCCCTCAGGGAGTTTGGATGTGTCTATGGGGCTTCCATGACCTTTCGAGAAGGAGGAATTTTGCCTCAAGAGTGCCTGAGTTTTTAGTCCGCTGGTCTGCCACATAGATTTCAGACTTTCCAATCCCCACAATTGGAGTAAACTTAAACGCATATTTCTAAGTGAAAGAAGCCAGTCTGAAAAAGCTACATAGTGTATGCTTACAACTATATGACATTCTAGAAAAAGTAAAACCGTACAGACTGTAAAGAGATCAGTGGTTGCCAGGTGTTCAAGCCAAGGTGGAGAGGGATGGCTCAGTGAAGCAGAGAGGATTTTTAGGGCGGTGAATTTATTCTGCATGATACTGGAATGGTGGATACATGACATTATGCATTTGTCAAAATCCATAGAACTGTACACCACAAGTGAACAATAATGTACACTATGAGCATTGCCTGTTGCCTTCGAGTATATTCCGACTCATAGTGACCCTATAGGACAGAGTAGAACTGCCCATAGGGTTTCCAAGGAGCACCTGGTGGATTTGAACTGCCGACTTTTTGGTTAGCAGCCGTAGCTTTTAACCACTATGCCACCAGGGTTTCTATAAGCATTAGTTAGTAATAATGTATCAATATTGTATTATATGCTCAGTTTTACTATAAATCTAAAACTTCAAAAAAATCTTATTAATGTTAAAAATTACAAATCATTCCATTTTCCCCTCACCATACTTCCCCCAATGTTAACATCCTATATAAACATAATACAATTAACCAGAATAGAAAATTAACATTTGAAACATATTATTATCCAAACTACAAACTTTAATTGAACTTTATTTTTTTTTTCTGCTATGTTCTTTCCTGTGCCTAGGTCCTATCCAAGATCCCACATTACATTTAGTTATAAAAGTGTTTCAGTCTTTCCTTGTCTTTCATGACTGACATTTTTTTTTTTAATATTTTATTGTACTTCAGGTGAAGGCTTACAGAACAAATAGTTTCTCATGAAACAGTAGTACACATGTTGTTTTATGACATTGATTAACAACCCCACAACATATTAACCCTCTAAATTCTCAACCTTTTTTTT